GTGCCTTTGCTTCAAACTACTTGTTCTGCCATCAAAGCTATTTTAAAATTGCCTGGCAAAATAGTTTGTGTCACTCAAAGAACTTGTGAAGTGCCACCTCTTTCATTTAGCTAGTGAGCGTCACCCTGCCTTCTTTCCTGTTTTCCCAGCACCTTGTACTTTTAATTTTCTCTCATTATCACCACTGTGAGTTTCATTCTCAGTTGGTATGAAAATGTTGAGAAACAACAATGGCTCTGAACAAAGATCTCTTCTGTGAGTTTCTCTCAGCTCAGATTGTGAAATTCTCTTCTTTTTTTTGTACCGGGAGTTGATCTTAGGACATTGCTCTTGCAATGCAGGCGATTGTGCCACTCAGCTATACCCCTGGCTCTTGACATTCTCTTCTATGAGATTGTCAGGTTGGAATAACGTGTGTTGAGGTAGAGTTCCACTGGTCTTCAGTAAAGTTGAAAGACTGTGTTATGGACTGAGAGAAGCCTGTTGAAAGAGGCAACATTTGAATGAGGTGTGAATTATGTACACATGTGATTCGTATGATGAAATGGAAAGTTAATTTCCAGATAGAAAAGGCAACATGTAAATTTTTGGCTAATTGTAGATGGAAGTACTATATTAACTTGTGAACAACATCCTCAGGGATATTATAGTAATTTCCTAGAAAGCATTGTCATACACATCTTCATATCATCATGGATATTCTTCAGGATTTCCTCCAAGTCCACACTTACAAGTGAAATTGGTAGCCAAGAAAAGAAGCCTCCATTAGCTTGCAAAATCCTATGAACCAGAAGTGCCGGTGTGTGTAGCAGTCAGTTTGATTTAAGCATGAGTTCGTGTCCAGACACCTGTTTGCATAGAGGGAGTTTTGCCTGCATGGAGGATAACAGCTTGTAGAGGAAATCAGTGGTTTTAATATGCAAAAAGTCAGACTGAAGTATCTACACATTCTGGGGTTAGACTGAAGTAGGTAAACATTGAAAAAATAACTGTGAAGAATAGTCATATGTGATCATTTGGAGAATGAATTGATGGATTTGGAAATTTATTCAGGAATCACACATACCTGAACTGTATTAGGGATTTCCTTATTTAGTTACCGGTACAAAATAACTGACGTGCACAACTTAAAAAAAAAATACTTTTATTTTGTCTCATTGTTTCAGATAATTCAATGTGAGTTTGCTTGTTTGTGGTGCAGAAGTATCTTGGCAAATAGAAAGTTAGAAGAAAAGGTGACTTCATCAGTTGAAGGAGCCAGAGTGTAGGAAAGGAGCCTGAAAGGAAGGATGGAGAAACCAGATTTGATCAGTCAGGTCAAACTCATGACTCCATCAGACACACCGAGATTAGTGTACTTCACTCATATTCTGCACATCTGTCAATCAAAACAAGTTGTTAACAAGTGTATCACATGGTTCCAAGCAATATGCTCTTTCTGGGAATATGAAAGAGCTAAAGAGAAAGAGTTTCAGTGCATGAGCCGGGAGCTACAGGGCATGGTGAGCTTAGATTTTGCACTCCTTTAAGGTGTGTGTTTCATCGCAATTAAATGGTTTAGTGGATGAGCAGTGGAGCTCCATTTTGGCAATCATTCTTACCTCAAGCTTGTCAATGTGCTTTCTTTGAGAATTCAGGTTTTTTTTGTTTTTGTTTTTTTTTCGTGGCTCTGGATATGTAGTAAGCTTGTCTGGTAGAGTTCAAATGTTTGCTTTTCTTTCTTGTTTAGTCTTTTGCAGATTGTGATTATGATTTTATCCTAATTTCTTCATTTACACAATAATTGTGCACTTTTGGGGGGGGATATATTCATTTCCTCGGCTGAAAATAAACAGATGGAGAGTATGAAACTCCTTACAGTGAAGCCTGCCGTCTTACTCCAAAATATTGACGTGTTAAGCAGCTGCCTCTCTCTCTTCCCCAGTGTCATGGCCTGGCCTCGGCTCAGCATGTTTTCTGACACCACGGGATTGATTCTTCCCTAGAATATTGACCCTATAACATCTGAACACATTAGTGACCCATTTTCAGGAAAAGTCCCCTGAGTCCTGAACGAAAACAGGAGCAGAACTGCAAAACCAGGGGTTAAGCCCTTAAGAGCAAGTATCCTTCAGGCAAGGTGAGTTCAGTTTTGTGGAAGACAGCCTCGTCCAGAAGTCCCTGCGCTGCAACCTTCCTTTTGAGATAAGGTTTAGCAGATAGGGGTTTGTTTCTCTCGTTATTCTTGGCGGAGAGGGAAGCTAACATATCAGGAATCTAATCAGTGTTGAAGGGGCGGGCTGTACGAACTGTCCAATCAGGTGGGCCAAGGTAGGCGGGTTCTTCCGGTAGCGTGGCGCCAAAGTGAGCGCCGAGAACCTAAGCCCCGAGTGCAGTGACTACGAGACCACCTTCTGTGGCTTCCAGTGGCTACAGCCTGATTAGGAAAGACCTCGGGAGAACCTGAAGCCACGCAATGGTGAGGCTGTGGGATGGGCCACCTGAGATGCGGTGGAATTAGGGTGAGATCCGGTTGGAAGTGGTCCCAAGCAGCTCTTGTGGCTAGAGTCTCCGTGCTTAGCTTCAGACGCTGCCGTCCTCCCGGACTGGCCGTGAGTCATTCTCCGTACCTTTTGCGCCTCGCTGGAGCAGGGCTCGTTGTGCGTCCCCAGAACCGTGTCCGAACTGGGACACCGCCCGCCCCCAGTGGTGCCTTGGGAAACATCTTGCCTTCCTCGTATCTCTTCCATTCTCGAGAGAGGAAGGGGTTGGGGAAAGACAATCACTAGCGCGTTAGAAGTAGGTGCAGCTGTATTGAGCTGGGTCCGTGGTCTCATTTCTGCCTGCAGCATATCTGGAAGATCTGAAGTGTATAAATGTCTGTGATGTAGAGTCTCATAGCCTCAGTTTTCTTGAAACTGGGTTTTTTTTTTTCTTTTTTTGTTACCGGGAATCGAACTGAGGGCTTCGCGCTTCCCATGCAGACGCTGTGCCGCTGAACTACATAACTTCTACTTTTTAATATTTATAGTGATCTCCTAAATGTCCAATGTGTCCTCACATTGCGAAACTCATGATAGGTCTTGACAAAGTCCTGAGAATTCAGAGAAGTGTGGTGATGTACCTCAGTGGTAGAGCACTTGCTGAACACTCTGTGAACTCTGGGCTCCGTACAGAAAAATGCAAAAGAAATATATAATCTCTGCCCGGCGTGGTGGCGCAGGAGTGTAATCCCAGCGCTTGGAAGGCTGAGTCAGGAGGATCATTGCGAGTTGGAGACTAGCCTGGGCTACAAAGTTAGGTTCAAGGCCAGCTTGAACTGCATAGAGAAACCCTGTCTCAACAACAACAACAACAAAAGACAGAAAAACCCCCAAAGAAATGTGTAATCTCTACTTAATTATTTAGGTGACACCTGTACTCACAATTAGATTATTGAAGTGAGAACTGCCATAGAGTTTACAATTCAGAGAAAAAAGAAGGGGTTTTTTTTTTTGTTGTTGTTCTTTTTGAGACAGGGTCTTGCTATGCAATTCAGCCTGGGCTTGAGCTCACCTTGTAGCCCAGGCTGATGTCGAACTCTCAAGGATCCTTCTGCTTCAGCCTCTGGAGTGCTGAGATTACAGGCGCGAGGCACCATGCCCAGCTAAGGAGGGGATGTTAAAGTATTAGCAAGGACAGGGGCAACTGTTCCTCCTCAGGATAACTTCCATAAGGGGCTGCCTTTCGTTCTATCCAGGGTGACAGGTCCTGAGAACGAGGTGCCTATGGATGAGGAGAAAAAGTAAGGGAGATAAGAAAAACGAGAGGCAAAAGTGTGGGTTCAGGGGGCTTGCAGCCTTTTGGACTGCAGCCCCGATTACCAGTCTCAGTCACCTTTTATTGAGCGAGAACCAAGGGTGTAGCTAGTACAAATGGGCAGATAGCAAACATTGTAGTAATTCAAGCATTATCCTTCTCTAGTTCTGCCTTTTATGCTGCTGGCAACCATCCCGTGGTGGGCCTCGTACACCCAGCACCACGCTTACTTGGTTCAGCTGGGGGTTATAGGTTGATATCCAGTTATCAGTCCACTGCAATCACAGTCCTTACTTCCCATTAATTTTTACAGTGCATGGCAAGAGTATAAAACTAGGGATCTCCTGCAATTGAAGTTCACTCTCATCTTCATGTGAAAGGTTTCAGTTCATTTTTGCAACAATAAACAAATCATTGAGTGTCCTCAGTGCTTTCTAATCAAAGAATGTCATTCTGTACAGCTGCCTGTTGTAACCACGCTGAGAAAGACGTGGAATTGCAGCATTTTTATGGACTTATGTATGTGATATGTATATGAGTGGAAAGGCATTGGGTGTCATCTCTGAATTAATGGCTGTAGAGCTTGACCTAATGTAGACATTGTTTAAATACTGAAATGCTCCCTGAGGTAGGCTTTAAATGAACTACTAGAGTCGAGGGAAAGCCCGTAATAGACTTTGTGGAAGGATATCCATTGTTAAGATAGGGTTTTCTGGTTAGGGTGGAAGAAAGGAGAGTGGAAAGTGTATGGGAGGAAATGGTATGATGATAGGTGCAAATAGAAGCACCTACAACTTAGAAATTTTGTTTGAAGGTCAGATTCTTAGGGTAAGCATGAGGGAAGAATTTTGAGCTTATTTGATCTGTGAGTTGGCCAAAAGTCACAGGCTTGAACAGCGAAGGGGAACTTAATAATAGGTAAATATATTTTCTATTATGGCTGATCAGTTCACCGAATCGTTTCTGAGGCAAAATTGGAAACTAGGAAACTGTCTGGTCTTGGTGTAGATTTAAAATTAGTGTGGACACCATCACTGCAGGAGATGAAAAGGGGTTTCGCCAGGATACAGAAGATTTCAAGGTGTGCTTGATGTTTTTGTTGTACAGGAACTGAACACTGGAATTTTGCTCTTAGTTATATACTCCAAAATTTTTGATTTTTTTTTTTTTTTTCTAAATTTTGAGATCAGGTCTTATGAAGTTGTGCAGGGTAGTCTGAACTTTTGATAGTGTTTGTACCTCAATGACTGGTTGGATGACATACATGTGCCACTAGGCTGGCTTATCTTTTTAAGGCAGGGTCTCCCTATGCAGTTCAGGGCAATGTGGAGCTCGCTTTGTAGCCCACACTGGTCTCAAACTTGCAAGAATCATCCTGCCTCAGCCTCCCGAGTGCAGGGATTACAAGTGTACACCAGTCTGTCTGGCAAGATTGTGGTTCTTTCTTCCCTGTGATTTACCAGGATTTCAGTGCTTGTGTGAGGTAAAAAATAGCGAGATGTGGTGGTTCACACGTTTACTCTCGGCCACTTGTGAGACTGCGGCCAGAGTATGAATTACCACACCATTCCCGGTGTGGGCAATTGAGCAAGAGCCTCTTTCAATGTGTTGTATAAATTCTGTGATTTATCTCCCTGAAGAGTAACACATTTCACATGACCTAGGGTCTGTGATAAATTTCTCGTATCAATAAAGGAAAATTATCAGTGGAAGCCTTATTTTGAGTTTTTATTTTCATTCTTTTTGTTCAGTTGCTATATATGTTAGAATACCTGCTCAAGATAGTGGACAGTAGTAATGAATCACTGCTCTGTCAGCTACAGGGCGACAGTGGTGAAGAAGCAGTGCTTTACAGTGCACTGTATTCAATAACATGCAGGAGATATTTAGTTCTTCTGGTTTTGTATTTTGTTACAGCTGCCTGTTGTAACCACGCCAAACACATATCAAACAAGTGTGTGGAACAGGTTTAAAGGATCCAAGGCTTAGCAGTAATGTTTTCTTGATCGGGCCTATTCTGTACATTTTCAACACATTTTTTTCAAAAAGTTGTCTGTAAAATACAGTAATCATCAGATTGTCTCCTTTTTTGAGAGCTGTGTTAATCAGTTTCCCCAGAGCAAGTGAGTGAGGAGAACCATGTGAGTAATATTCGAAAAAGGGAACACCACTCTAGATTTTGACATTTGTTTCTTTGTTTGCTCTAATTTGGTTTGGTTATTATTATTCATCTATTGTTATTATAATTATTATGAGATATGCCCAGTTGGCGCATACTCTCTGGTTTGTGTCACAAAAAAAGGAGATACGATGGAGATTTTCATTGAGAAGACACAGGCCTGAGCAGTTGGAACATGAGCCATCAAGCGTGTGCAAGGCCGAGGAGACAGCACTTCCGTTCCTGGCTCTAATTTTGCTAACCTTTCTAACTGTTTTAACATTGGGTAAACATCTGCCTTTCTCTCCCAGTTTGCCTACTCCTGTAATACCATTTCCATTTCCATGGCATTAAGAGCTGAAGGCATGTCTGTCCACTACTGTTACTTTCAAGCCTTTCATCTTTGCAGTGATACATATATATCTGTGGGAAAAGAGATGACTATGGGCCTTTGTCACATGTTCCATAAGTTCCAATTGACTGCAATCCCTGAATTCCCTAAATTCTCTTGACTTGCCCATATACTGTGAGCACAACTTCCACCTTGGTATCCTGGAGATTCCCATGGGAATGGCCTATGACGGAACTGAAGTAAAGCACGGAGCTTCAGCTCAAAGCAGGCTTTAGTCTGTCTGTATCTCCCTGTGGGTGTCATCACACAGCAGGAAGCAGTGGAGCCTGTTCTGGCTTTTACAATGGGGACATTAAAATGTAGTGCAGGTGGTGAGGACAAGGAGAGCATGTGCAAGCACAGACAGAGTACTTTGTAGAGAGTCACTGAGATTGGTTTTGGGGTGTAGGCAGGTCTTCGGGTCTTTGCCCATTCCTGTACCTGGTCATTCAGGAGTTTGTGTGTCTAGTGTACCTATGAAGTCAGTGGCTTTCTGGTAATGGTGATTATGCACGTCAGAAAACATGTAAATGTGTTTCGATGTTTTTCTTGTAATTATGCAATGGAGCATATTAGATTTAGTAATGTCTTGGGGATGGAGGACAAGGATTTTACCAGTGACACATAGCAAACACAATGTCCCTTATGAGAAGTAAATCTTTGCCCCAAATATCGCTATGCTAGTGCTGTGCTTCGCAAACCTGCTGAAGGTTTGTATTCTTTCCGTATTATGCCCCTGCTTATCACTACTAGGTTACACTTGATGGCTTCACGTACATGTTTTACACTGGCTGTAGGACCTAGATACTGATGAGCACTGCATATGTGCTTTATCACTGAGCTACACCCAAACCTCAGGTACATATATTTTTAGTGCCCAAACACTAGCATAGAAAGTTCATATTATATTTTAAGTAACTCATCCAATATTATTTTCCAGATTTATTTTCACTGGTGTATGTAGATGTGATTGGTGTGGATCTCCATTGTTTGTGTGCATAACATTTTATTTGCCTTTCCACAACTAGGCGAGAGCAGGCTTGTCTCATACCATCACTGATACAAATACACCAGGAAACGTTCTCTTTACTTGCTGTCGCAGAAACAGACTTGAGACAATCCCATGGATGGT